ATTTTGATTTTGAATTTTACAAAAACACATAGTGGGATTTACAACTTTCATAGTGAGAGTTTACTACTTCGTCAATGGGTTTTGCAACCTGTTTTGAAGGGCCGAGCAAGTTTTGCCTAATTTTACAAACACATAGTGGGATTTACAACTTTCATAATGAGAATTACTACTTGGCCAATGGCTTTTGCAACTTGTTTTGAGGGGTTAGGCAACTTTTTTGTAAAAAACAATACAATTCCACGCTGAATTTTACAAAACACATAGTGGGATTTATAACTTTCATAATGAGAGTTACTACTTTGTCAATGGGTTTTGCAACATGTTTGAGATCAAAAATCAAAATTCCAGATTGATACCCAGTGCCCTATTTGTCATTTTGCTTATTCAAGTCCCTTATTTGTCTTTTTGAAATTCAAATGGTATTTTATTGTCATTTTCCCTTACACTAATATATGTCTGATTTTATGCTAATTATTTTGAATAAAAATAATATAAAATATAGATTTTAAAACAATTAATTACAGTAAAATAAAGATCGGAGATGCATGCCTAAGGATAACCTTCAAATTTCAAAATGGGCTTAGCAAGTTTTTTTCAAAAAAAAAAATCCTAGAGACTGAACCAGGTACAGTAATGAGTATTGAAAAACGTGATGCACAACTTTTCATCTTCCCCAATCCTGGCATTTGTGTATCGAACTGATAGGGGAACAGTCTTTTATTATTTCTTTTTACTCTTCCTTTCTTTTCAAGCAAATTCTTCAGATGCGTCAAGGAGTCCCTGTGTCGAGTTCACTGCCTTCCTCTGGGGTCGACGGCAAGAAAAGAAAAACACTCCAAGCTTGCTTCTTTCCTCCTCAGTTTCATCCTTTATCCATCTCATGCGATTGATCTGTATCAGGTAAATGAGAAAAATCAAGAAGCCACTTTTTTCCCCTTTAGATTTTTCTATGTTTCTCTTCTTTCTTTCTTTTTTCCCTTCTCCTTTCTCTTTCTTTTTCCCAGCCGGACGGTTCTCTGAAAACCGCTCCGGGTCGCGGCTTAACTCCGATTCCCGGCTCAACAGGCGGCTCAGAACGGTTTAAAACGATCCAACTCCTCAAGCGGTCTAAGTATAGAAGCCGAGCCGTTGTATTGTCCGATTGCCGGTCCAACCGGTCCAACCTTCCGATCCGGTCCGGGTTTGGAAGATTTTTAGATGGAATCAAAATAATGAGTTTAAAAATACTTTTATAATATCCAAAGTAAATAAGAAAATTTATTTCAATTTGTGAAAAGATATTTTTAAAAAACATTTTTTTATAGTTTCCAAACATCCTCTTATAAATGAGTCCTTATAATTTTAAGCCCTGTCTCCATATATTTTATGAAAATTTGGAAATAAAATTTTAAAGATCAGGTTACAACTAAATCAAAATACAAGGATTAAAAAAATTAATGTCTTAAGAAAAAAATGATATAATTGTGATAAAATATAATTTTCCTGTTCTTAATATAAAACCTAATTATTAAGTTAATTTTAGTCTTAAATATAAAACTCACTTATCATATTTATCAGTTTTTTCTAAATTATCCTTATGAATACTTCCTCACCCATAATCAGGTAGAAAAAGAATAGGGGTATTAAGAAAGATGATTGTAGTATTTTAGGAAAAATATATCGTATTTTTTTATAATTAACTAACTTACCTAATTTTTTTAATCTAATTGAATTAATTAAATAAGTTTTATATTTAAAGATCGGAGGAGTATTTTTTTGAGGAAAAAAAAGCATACGCCCTCATCACCGCCGGAATTAAATTCCACAAATGCAACTACGCATGATAAAATAGTTCACCTTCCTTATCCATTTGACTTCAAATCCCAAACACCCGATGGGGAGAGAAATTTGTGAAAGAAAGAATTGCGCAGATCAGAAACCGAGGCCGAAACTGAAATTGCCAGCACATCATGGGCCACACGTTGTAATTTGTCCCGCTCATGCGCCGCTATAATTATCTGGCATTACGCCAGGCTAGTGGGGTCCACGCTCGCGTTGACGACTTGACGCACTGGGAAAGTGCCTTGTATATCGGTCTTGCCTTGACAAAATGCTACCTCCGCGCTTGATATAAAATCTCGTTTATTTTTATTTTATAAAATTTTAATTTGTTTTATCTCTTATATTTATATTTTTTTAAGATAGTCCTTCTAGTAATGATAGTTCTAGCCTACACACTTGATTAGTAAGGATATTATAGGAAAAACAACACATATTTATTACAAATGATTAACTTAATTTTTTTTTTAATTTTCTCAAATTAATCAACTAGCTTTTATAATTAGAATCAAAGGTAGTACTTAATATAAAAACTATTCAATTAATTTGATTAGATTAAAAAAATTAGATAAGTTAATTAATTATAAGAAATATAATATATTTTTTTAAAATGTCATAATCATCTTTTTTAATATTTCCTCTTCTTCTTCTACTTGATTATTTTTTAGAGAGTATCTATCGGAATAATTTAAAAAAATTAATAAATATGAAAAATAAATCTTATATTTAAAACCAAAATCCACTTAACAATTAGATCTTGTATTAAGAACTGGAGGAGTACTATATATTTAATCATTTAATTTTATATAAAATTTTAATTCATTTTCTTAATTTTAAAAAATATATTCTTAATCATTTAATTATAAAATCATTAATTTTAAATAATAATTTTTGTAACAATTATAATTATTTTAAAAATTAAACTTAATATGTTAATATTTAAAAACGTTTTATTAAAATCGTAATATTCTCATACAAAATTAATAAACAAGAAATATACTTTTATTTCTACAAAACACACTATTTATTGTATCGGATTATTTGTCATTTTCTAACGGGATTAAATGTGATAATCACACTCCATCTCCCGTGTATATTGTTGAAGTTTGTTTCTGGGCTTGAAGTTGATGAGCCCCGTGACCGGATATCAGATGGAAATGCGAAACTTGGACCAGGCAAATCATAACGATGATGGGGATCAAACTTTGGTCGTCCAATCAATATTTCGTAGACTGCTATTCCGTTGCGTGAGCTAATAACAGATAAATCAAATTTGACCATAAACTAGAAATAGCAAGTACAACGGAATTGAAAATTTTGAAAACATATAACCCAATAACGAGTTCATCTCAACTTCACTGAAACTGAAGATTTTTCGTTAAATATTGATCAGTGCATCTTGAAATTCTTAATGTCATTGGTCTAATGGTGAAAGATGCACACGTAGGAACGTTTCATAACCTTGAGACTCTAAAACTAGCAAAATGATTCATGCATTAATGTAGTGATGATGGGCAGGCAATATGCCACGGAATTTATAAAACGGGAGATACATAACGGACCTGAAAGTTAAGGCTGGTAAGAATACATGCACAACCATCAATAAAAGGAACACTATGATTTGACAAAACAAAAAAAATACACAGAGGAAACAGAAGTGGTAAAATTGTTTCTCAGTTCAGTAATTCCCCAGTTTTTTTCCCTCCCTTTTCTTTTGGCCTTTTGGGCACTAAAACTTGAGTCTTGGGACACAAGGAAACTATTCAGGCAGGAACTAATTCAAACAGTCTTATCTTTAGGAGCCTTCTTCCTCAGCTGCCGCCTAGGCATTGAATTCCTCATCCCTATATAGAAGAGCAATGCCCCAAACAATGCTAAACTCTGCAAATGCAACAACGTTGTTAATTCAACTGAGTCAGTGCCAGTTTATCAACTTCTCTAGAAAAATCAACGGACAACCCTTCAATGCAACTTTTGAATTTCCCATGACGTTTCACCGTTAGAAAACATATAGCATTCAAGTGAATCTTTCATTTTCACTCTCATAATTTAGATAAAGGCCATTATAGCCAAACATTTTCCATGTCAATGCAAAAAGCTATTCATCGCAAATATTCCAATGCATTTTATAAATAACATAAGAAAACATAGACAAAAACCAGTTGTTATCATTGATCAGAATTGCAAGTTATAAATTGAGATACCAACCTGGGTAAACTTGAGAAAATGCTCAGTAAATTCTTTTGTCTCAACGTCGTAGTTGTAGAAGTCACATAACAAGGGAGTAAAAATTGCTTGATGCAAAAGCTGCCCCAAAAAAAAAATAAAATCAGAGCACGGTTTTGTCTTCCAATCGATTAGTTATGGTGATGAGTTAAACAGGCAACAGACCAGAAGATAAGCTCCCAGGGAGTTGCCAAAGATAAACAAAGGACCCCCAACTCCTTTCAGGAAAATTGAAACAGAGATTAAATCTTTAACCTGGTGGGAACAGTAGCAAAGATAAGGATTTGTCCATAATGAAAAACCAACTATCATCTTAACTTCAGCTTGATAGATGTAAATGCATTCTCACTTCAATTTTAGGCAACTTAATCCCAGCGTGAGTTGAGACATGATTTGAAAAGGCATGAAATTTTGGTTCCAAGGCTTGGGCAGCTGGTCCACCATCCTTACCAAAGTCATTGAACCTATTAAAATGAAAAAAGGAACAAAATAACCACACACAAAAAAAAAAAAAAACCGAAGTATGAAGAGGAGTTTTTCAAGAAAGCCAAGGATGATTTGACACAAAACAAGATAATGAGTCATAAACACAACTATGATTATTCCTTAACTTGGTAAAACAAACAAATGGTGTCTTAAAGGTCTATTGCTTGTAGGTTTTAAACAGGGCAATGGGCATCCTAGGTTGAAAATATAAAACACCCAGTGGATTGGAGATCTTTATATGATAAATGAAAGTTATATGAAATGAAAACAGATGATGAAAAGAAACATTAACGTTTCAAATACAATTGGACATATCCACTTAACAACTCAAGTACACGTCAGTTACAACAGAAAACAGCACATCACATTTTAGTATTTTACCAAGATGTAAGAAAACAACAAGTATAAAAAGCACAAATTATGCTTGGCTTTTAATTTAAAAGTTAGGCATATTGACTACAGAGGCATATAACTTTCGCTGTGGAATTATCCTAAATGAGCTAAAAGCGTAAAAGAAGGTTCGACACTTGCGTTGCCCATACAGTTCTCTCAAAATTGTCATCTCACATTACAGAGTATAGGATACAATGATATTTAAAAAGCTTATCTTCAATTATTAATTTAACTTCATTTTTTTAATATAGCTCTTATTATAAATTTTCTATGACATCTATTAAATTGAATAATATGTTACATTATTTTACCCGGTTTCGTTATGTATGTAGAGATATACCCAATCAAACTATAGAACCAGAAAATGTTCCTTTCGGTGAAATAGTGTAGGAGAAAAGAGGTGTGCTGGAGTGAGTGAGTAAAGGTGCCCCGGAAAATAATTTTAAGCGCATAAGCTTTAAGTATGATTATTCTGAAAATATTTTGTCAGAGAATCTCCACTTTATCACCAGCATCCTCCAGGCATAAGTCGGAGTAAAGGATTTGAAACAACAAGACCGAAACCCTACGCCCATTGGCAAATAAAGCAACCGAGCTTTAAATATATAGTCATAACATGGTAGGGGAAAAAAATCACCATTTACACGACAACCGTCCAATCCCAAACATCAGCCGACACCTAGAGTCAGTGTTGATTCCTTCGCTTCATATGAATCAGTGTTGTGCAAATGGGGGGGGGGGAGATCAGTGGCGATCCTACTCTAGAACTTATGCACAATTCTGACACTACGAACCCCAAAAGTTGAACTAGATTTACTTGACATGCAAGATATAGTTGTTTTTTTTTTAAAAAAAGATAATAAGAAGAAACTTCGTTTTGCGACAATTTTCCGAGGAATCAAGCAAAGTAGCTACCAGAGGAAACAGAGAGACCGAAGAGAAGAGGAGAACCGAAGAAGGCTTACTCTTGCCAGGCAGATGCTATGAAGAGAGAAGCGAAGAGGACTCTTCCGACAAATGAAGTGAAGGCCATGGATGTTGAGAGCGAGATCACAGGAAGGAGCCACAGAAAATTCAAAGTGAAGGGTGTGACCCTTTCGAAAAGAAAGAGGGAGAAACTGTTAAAAAGCCTCAGACCGAGTTGATGACAGCCGACGGCGTCGTTTACTGAACCGCAAAATCTGGCAACAGGTGCGAATAGGAATAACAAAGGTACTCGCTCCCGATAGCTGACAACCGTGGACCTGGAAGCGATTGTTGGCACGTGGCGTTCGACGAATGCGAGGGTTTGGTCTTGAATCGTTATCTAAAACTAGATTGTCTGAAAAAATCGAGAATAACAGTATAATGTTTCGAGCATTTTGGATTTTAATAAATACTACTACTCCTCTGGTCCTTAGTATAAGACTCATTTAACTAATTTGATTAGATTAAAGAAGTTAGGTAAGTTAGTTAATTATAAGAAAAGTGACACATTTTTCCTAAAACACCATAATCATCTTTCTTAATACCCCTCTCCCTCTTTTACTTGATTATGGTTTAAGGAGTATCTATAGGAATAATTTAGAGAAAATGGATAAATATGAGAAATGGGTCTTATATTTAGGATCAAAATCAATTCAAGAATTGGGTTCTATATTAAGGATCGGAGGAGTATTATATTCATGATTTGTTTCCCGGGTTCTTTGTTCCTTTTTTCCAATTTTCTTTATACCAGTATGTATAAATTCATGCATAAAAACTAAATAAACTGAATTATTTAGAAATGATAAGTGTAATTAATTAATCTATAATGATGAACATCAATACTCAATATCAGATAAAATAAGATAGGATGATGAGACTCATGTTCACTCCATGTAAATGTACCGTGCAATCCAATTTTGCAATGAAATTTACATTCCACCTTTTTAGATATGTTAAAATCATCTCAATTATCTTGAGAGTCTTAAAAAAAATAATCTTTTTTAAAGAAGAGAAATCCTTAGCTTCAAAGTTTGGACTAATAATTCAAGATATAGCAAAGAAAAGATAAAAAGAAGCACATGAAGCCCATCTTGAAAGTAATTATACCGATAATTATTTTATTGGCAGTGACGATGAATGACAATTCTTCGATTTTATCTGGCAGTAGAGAAAAGGAAATGAAATCATGTTTTCGCTCAAAGTTCTGACCAAGCACATCCTCACGTTTTTGCCAAAGAACAAAAAGAAATGCCTGAAATCGGGAGTGAAGAAGAGGAAGACATTTATTAAGAGATTAAAAGAGAAACCAAGTGGCGGTGGATTGGATCTAAAGAGATGTGAAGCACCTTTTGGTTACAGAGAATAAAGACAATGAACAATCTTTCTTCGTATGAAGCTAAACCAGACATTAGCATCAGTTCGAGCAGACTAAAACTGTACTGTCAGATCGGCCAGGGTGGAGATCCCTGCTTCCACATGCAACTTAAACACCGCATCACACAAGTTACCAATTTTATTACACAAGCAAAATTAAAACCTCAGTCATGTGGCATTGAAGATATGAGAGAGATCCAAGTGGAAGACAATATATTGTGCTCAGGCAAGAATAATTTATGTTGGCAAAAAAAAAGAAAAGAATAATTTAGTATGAACTATTATGACTGATGCAATGTGCTTAGCGTGCTGTGACTTGATTATGATTAAGATTAGTAGAGAATAATAAGGCTTAGAAGATCAGCTAATGTATCAGAGTGGCTGCTGATGAATAGCAACCAATGATCAAGACAGCTATGGCAGACTAAATTATTGGTATAATTAGTGTCAGATATGCTTGTTTAATTTGTTTTCACCCACCTTCCTCATTGATTCTTAAGCATTATTTTCAATATACGGGTATACGCAACTGTATGTACAGGAAGAAAAAGATCATTCAATTCTTACTTTTTCATTAATTTTAATACTAAGAATTTAAATTTTAAAAAAATTATAGTGCGGCCCTTATACATTGATACTTTCTTGACTCGCACCTTCTCTCCCTCTCTAGTCTCTCCCTTTGCTTTACTTCGTCCTCGCGAGCTCCGTGTTCTGGAAGCTCAGATTCTCTCTCGCCCACTCCGCACAAAGGGAGAGAAAATGGGGTTCTTCTCCTTTCTGGGTCGTGTCCTCTTCGCTTCCGTCTTCATCCTCTCCGCATGGCAGATGTGAGTTTATCTTCTAGATCCCTCTGTTTCTTTTCCCTTCACACTATAAAGACTTCCATCATCATTATGCTTCTGTTTTGCAAACTCAAGTGATCTTTTTTAAGTTGTTTTTCTATCTTGTATTGCCCATGAAATTAACTGAACTTTCAAGACAACGCAGTATCATGCGATTTGAATTTGCATACAGACACATGCCTGTGCGTTGTTTAGAGTTTGTTGAAATCAGCAGGGCTACTTGATCTCTTAGTATTACTTGTTTGTTGGTCGTCTTAACATAAAGTTTTACTCTTTTCGCTTTTCACCCTCGTGATGTTGATAAAATTGAACGCGAGGGCCTTTTAATCGTGGATGAATATGAGCGATTCATATGCACTCTGAAATTTGAAATCTAAATTTGACGATAAAATATGGACATAGTGTTGTTGTTCATATGCTTTTTGTTTCTTCCACTCATCTCTTGCATTACCGAAGCAGAAATTACTGAAAGTTCTCAATTTTGCTCAAGTACCAAGACTGTGATGCCAAGTTAGCTGCTGGCCAGGAACTGAGATAGATTAAATTCCAAACTCATGATCCTGAACAATTTTGTAGACATTGATGTTCTGCTAAATTTTAGATATGAGGTCTTTATTGTCTTAGCCACTGTTTGGTACGAGGGAAATGAAGGAGAAGGGAGGGAAAATTTTTTTTAATGAGCTCTATTTTTTGAAATTTTAATAAAAAGAAGGATTAATATAAAAGAGTAATAAAAATTAATTAAAACCTTTGGAGAAGTGGGGTTTTGAAATTTTAATAAAAAGAAAAATTAAGATAAAAGAGTAATAAAAATTAATTAAAAGCTTTTAACCCCATCTTTTCAATTTTTTAAATTGAGCTTATTAAAATTTTCTCCTCCCCTTCCCTCCTCTCATTTTTCCTCTTACCAAACGGACCCTTAAGAACCTGTTACTTTATTGACATTTCAGCAGCCTATAATGCAGTTGTAACTATTTGTCTCTGGAATATTGTCTGTTGGTAAATCATCGGGTCATGATTTATACAAGTACTCAGCTGATGCGTCAGTGCATTCACAAAATTATACCCCATGAAATGTTATGCTGTTTACATTTGACAATGAACTGATTAATGAAGGAGCAGAATATCTGTTTAGCTGACTGCCTATGTATTAATGTACCAAGCTAATATAGCTGGATGGTGAGTTAGTGACAATACTAACGAAGCAATATTATAATTGTTTAGTAACTCTGCATTAACAGAGCCTGTATAAATTGCTAGGTATAATGAATTTGATGTCAATGGCGGCCCTACTGCAACAGAATTGATTCCCAAGCTCACAGTTGTAAAGAAAAACTTATCTTCCAAATTGGGGGTCGTGATGAGAGATATTGATGTAAGACCACTTCTTCGTCTATTGTTTAAGTAGTGGTAATTGAGTTCAATTTTCACTTCCTTTGTAGTTGCCTTTCTGATCAAGACATTAAATACAGGTTCGGCAGTTTGTTGCCACTGTTATATTTCTGAAGGGGGTTGGAGGTGTTCTCTTTGTGTTTGGAAGTTCATTTGGGTCTTTCCTTCTGGTAAGGGTCTAATCTCATAGCTTAGGAGTGCTATGAAATGTACTTTTTCAGGCATCTATGAATCCAGATTGAAAATTTGCTCTCTTTGTTTGTAGTTATCGCAGCTGGCTCTCACCACTCCCCTTCTGTATGATTTCTACAACTACAGACCAAACACACCTGAATACAGTCTGCTGCTGAATGAGTTCATGCAGGTCTGTGCTGGCTGTTAATGCATGTATTTTTGAGTTATGATTCCATCCTGCGTGATAACTTAGTAGGTTTTCTTTTTGTGGCAGAGCACAGCACTTTTTGGCGCTTTGCTGTTCTTTATAGGGATGAAGAACTCTATTCCCAGGAGACAACTCAAGAAGAAGGCCCCGAAGACAAAGGAATTTTAGGCATTGGGAGAGATGTACTTGTGTTTCCAAAGAAAAACTCGTGAAAAAATCTACTAAGTTGCAGCTTCAGATCTTTTACTGTCTTTAGATTTTTTTTTTTTTTTTTTAGGCCTCGTCTTCTTTCCTCCTTTTATCGTCTTCTTGTTTTATTTTTTTCACTACTTCATATTGGACTCTTTGGAGCAGTTAATTTAATATAAATATTTCTGAAGAACATATTTACTTTGACAGTTGAACATAATTTAATGGACATGCTGTCAACTTTTCTGCTATCAGTAGCAGTTTTCTTCTTTTCTGGAATCTGGATGCCTACCATTTATGTTAATTTTAAATTATTTAAATTTAATATTTGTTCTCCGTATTGCTTTTAAACCATAATTCATAAGAACCTTGTGATACCAAATTCAAACGGGAAAAAAAAAATCCTTATTTCATTTGTGGTTTCACTTAATTCATCATATTTTCTGTCGCTTCAATGCTAATACGAATTTGAGATGGATGTAAGCGACGGTGGAATTTATCGGAACTAATATTAATATTTACCATGAAAATCTGCACTAAATTATATTTATTTTATGGATTATGAAAAATATGATGAGAAAATTATTCATAAATGCTTGCTTGGAAAATTAGTTGGTCATCAATCTCATATTCATCTTATGTTTAAAAACATATAACATTCTGGTCAAAAAAAAAAAACATATAACATTGAATTCAGGAACCATTAAACGATTAATCCTCTAAATAGATATTTATGGACAATTTTCCTTAACATAATTTAATACATTTTGTGTTATGAAAAGCAAAATGTATGTTCAAAAATTATATTTTATTTTTTTATCGACAGTGATGATATTAATATTTAACGTGCAAGAGTGTTTAAATTAATTTTTTAAAATTAAATTTATAGCGAATGAAGTAAATATATTAAAAAAAATTTCTTAATTTACATGAAAGTACTAAGAAACTGAAGGCTGAAAACTACTTTTAAGAATCAAATTTTAAAAAGTATATATTTTGAGTTTTCTAAATTTATTATTTATACATCTCAATTTTACTGTTGAATCATTTTTTTTTTTGATTGAAGACTGTTGAATCATTAATTACCTGCTAAAATGACATAAATTCATAAGCGTATGGCTTTAAAAAAAACAACGCTGGAGAACCATGAACCCCAAACTGTCCCTCTTCCTTCTGCATCTTTGTTGTTCTTTGTCCATGTCGACAAGAACCTAAATTAACTGAATAAAAACTAACCGATAACAACCGGACAAACGAAACTCTCAAGTCCTGCTTTCCTTAGCAATGGTAGTGGTCTTTCTCTTGGTATGCGACTTCAGAATTATTCCTGCTTTGTTTTCACTGATACATTTAGGTCTGCTCTCATGTCACAGGATTACCTAAAATCCGCGGTTCCTTCCCAAATAATGTCAGAACGAGGCTACAATTTGGTTGTTATAAACCCAGGTATGCAAAATCCCTCCTTTCACAAAACCCATGCGCCTTATTGTCTCTTAGTTGTTATATTCCAGCTGACACCGAAATATCGGATTCTAGCATAAACCCCATGTGGTTAATCACTTTCAGCTGAGTAATTTTGCACCTCTGTTGATACTTAGGTTCTGCAAATATCAGAATTGGCCTGGCTTCACAGGATATTCCTTTTAATGTTCCTCATTGCATTGCTCGCCATACTAAGCAAGTTCCTAAGAGGAATGTTATGGATCAGGTTTTATGATCATTTCACAATGTTGTGGTTAATGATAACTTTGTCTTTAATTTAAATATTTTTGTTTTTCATAAAATTTTTAACTTCAACTATTCTTTGCCTTTAGATGCTTAATAATCAAATTACCACTGCACAGCACATGGAGCGGGAGAAGGCTTATGATGTTGTAAGTGATGAAACATTTTGATATATAACTTTCAAATTACTTCTGTTTACCTATATTGATCTCTTTTTTGTTCTCGTGGCTATCATTTTCACTTTGGGGGAAAAAAAGATTGCTTCTCTGTTGAAGATACCGTTTCTGGATGAAGAGGCGCCTAGTAACACTTATTCTCGCAAGGTAAATGGAATGTCTTGTTCATTATTCAATTCCTTCAAGACATTGAATGCTAGGTAGGGCTGTATCCTGTGGCAGACTTTTGTGCATTGCTCTATTGAACAATTCGAACAGATGACGAGTGATAGACTGCAGAGAGTAGACATATAAATTATCAACATATTAGTCATTAGAGTTATTATATATTCCTATTTCTAAATAAAATAAGGAATGGGCATGCTTTGGTGCACTCTTGTTCTTCAATTATTATCCTGTTTTACTTCTAATTATACAAATGTGAGTCTTCAGATATGTTGAATGTATGTTGTTTGGATGTCATGCCTGAAGGTCAATAGGTAGTCAGGCACAAATCCCATTCTTTTTCATTCTGACTTGGCCACAATGAATGAGCATCACGTAGCTGTTCTTTTTTTTTTTTTTTTTTTTTAAAGAAGCAAAACCAAGCTGTCAAAACTGGAAAATTAAAGATAAAGAGGCAAAAGAACAGTGATATGCATTGCGAGAGAATTTGGCACTATATCAGTTTTAGGGATCACATCGCTATAGCAGATAAATAAGTAAATTTAACTACTAAGGAACTCTGTAAGATTCATGACAGGATTGGGGATCCATGATATCAGAGACTTAGTTATTTTTACCTCTAGCAGTCTTGACAAATGCTCAAGTTTTGATGTGGCTTCAGCCACGATCACACATTCACCTGAATGCATGCAGGCTTTCTTGTGTGCTATTGGCTAGCATATGAATTGTATTGAAGTTTCTTCTTCTTTTTCCAGCTCTTTTTGTGGATATTTTCTATTTAGAATACATGTCTGGAAGGGAGCCATTTTTTTTTTAAGCTGTTAAATTAGTACTAACATTATGAATCTCAATGTACTTAATGTCCAGATGGGACGAGTTGATGGACATAATTCACAGAGTAGAGGGAAGGATTTAGCCTTAAGTTGGACTAACGTCTATGAAGAGGCCTCTAGTTCGGTGTCAGAATTAGGTAAAAGGAAATGATTTTTTTTGTTTTTTTGCACCTTGTCAAGTAGCTTGTTTGATATTCATTTTTATATTTTTTTTTCTCATGCATATTTTATGTTATCTGGCATTTGATTCATTTCATGGCAAGCATACGAGTACCTACTATGAGCTGGCAGCAATGTTTGGAAATATCATTCATGCTGGAGCAGATGCATTGCATGTCTTATAAAGTTTTCTAATGGCTATGTGAAAATATAGGAGCCGGTTCAGGAAAAATCCCTCTTTTTTTAGTTGGTTATATTTATTGAAATGTTAAAACTTGCTTTATTTTGTCTATTTCCCGTCTTTGTCTGGCTTTGTTGCTTTTCTAGTTAGAACTGAATTTTTCAATTGGATTTCGTTCAAGCAGAATTTAGAAATTAAGAATCATCATTTGAACGTCAGTTACTTTTAGATTGCTATTTCTAGATGACAATTATTTGCGTAGTCATATATTTACATAAACCTTTTAACATTAAATTCTTTTGCAAATATAAATACATATATTCATTTAATCCTCACTTGGTGTTTTAGTTGGAAAGTATGTTGATTTGACCCCCTTATATGTAAGAATTAAGAAATGCATTAATTAAATGCCTTAAGGTTGTATAATTTGATGGACCCGTGAACAAATTGATTTGAAAATAGTTTGAGTTTTTTTTTTGGAGGAATTTGTAATGCTATACTTTTGTTTCTAGTCATTAGTGATTTAGGAATTGTGGTTGGCAGTGAGATTTCATCTGACGATCTGTATGAGAGCATCTTGAAGTCCCAATTCAATGTTTATTTTTTTGTGATATCAATTAGCGTATGTAATGTTTACAAACATGCAATTGCAGAGGCTTCAATGAGTAAAGATGATACTAGTGAACCCTTGGACAAAAAAGAAGGTATAAATTCAATGGAACCTGATGCAAACAAACCAAAATACAGAGATTTCATTTGTGGTGAGGAAGCATTAAGGATATCTCCTGCTGAGCCATACTGTTTATGTCGTCCAATCCGCAGGGGACACTTGAATATCTCACAATATTATCCAATGCAGCAGGTATTTCTCACTAATGGATGAAATGATAATCAATGGAAGTCACTTATATCATACATAGACCTTTCAGTAAATGGCTGTGGAAAAAGAAATATGTACAAGTTTCATGATATTGTAAATGTTAAGGGGGCCATCATATCATACTGTAATGTTTTACATGATAGTAATAGCGCTTTTGGATGCAGCATGGCATTAATTTTCTTAAATATGAAAATTGGGTGACCATATCTGCTGCCTGCCAATTCCTGCAAAGTTTATGGTTAACATTTTACTTGGAGTTTCTGCTTTGTGATGTACTTTAATGTGTTATGCTTTGATGTGACACATTATAAACAGGCTTCATTATGATTAGTAAAAACAAAGGGGAAAGGAATTTATTTTACCTTTTGGCTCCAACATGGATATTGTACAGGTACTTGAGGACCTGCAAGCTATTTGGGATTGGATTCTCATAGAGAAACTGCATATTCCTCACAATGAGAGAAACATGTATGCTGCTGTTCTTGTGGTGCCAGAAACATTTGATAATCGTGGTATTTAGAACCTGTCAATTTTTTATAGCTGTAGAATGTTTCATCTTTTCTTATCAGACATGCATGTTACATTTAATTTAGATTTTTATGGAAAATAAAGTAGAACGAAATAACTAGTCCTCCATTTAATAATATGGGCTATTATATGTAAAACTTAAATGGGGGGATTCCCATTCCACTTGAGTGCCATCAGATGATGTCAGAGTCAGTGGTTGGCAGCTCCGAAATTTGAGGATTTTGACTGATAAGCAATACAAAGACAAGTGAAGTGCTGTCAGTGTCAGCTTTCCAAGTGGCATTATAATCTTGCATTTTACATTTACCAAACTTCATTATTTATATCATTCAAGTAATGCTTCCCTGGATAAGTGATGAGAAATTTCTACATTGCATCGATGAGATAATTGTTTGGTAATTCATATGCTTTAGGATCCCGTCTGAGTTGAATAAAAGGAAGATAATGATTAGGATCTTTAAGGGGGACAATGCCATCTCTTTCCCTCTTAAATTTTGAAGCATGCAGTTCTCTTAGAAGTAATATCTTCATGCTTCTACTATATTAATTTTGTATTTTGTTTGTTGCTGGAAGCAGAAATAAAGGAAATGTTATCTGTAGTGCTGAAAGACCTTGGGTTTGGCCTAGCTGTAGTACACCAGGTATGGCTTTTTATTGTAATGTTATAATTTACATGCTGAATGTGGGGCCAAAGTTCTATTATTTTGATCATGATCATCAGTTATAACCAATTTTCTTTCGGCAAGATTCTGGAATGTCTAAAACCACATTTTAAAATGTTCCTAGAGTTATCACTAAGAGAAGTCACATGATATTATTTTTAAATATGAGCCTTGATACAGATCTGATGATTAGCCTTCATTCCCATCACTTTCGCTATAAGTTGTGTTTCAGTAGATTTGTCACGAATGAATTTAGGGCTTTCTGGCTTTATGATTCATATTCTGATATCTATTTTCTATGTGAATTGATATATCGAATATCCTCATGCATTCAAATACTTGAATGATATCTGTGATTGGCATCATAGTTGCCTTCTTCCATTGTCTTTAAGTACATAGTTTACCATTAGTTTCTGACCATGTTATGAAATTGGTTGACCAGGAAGGTCTTGCTGCAGTTTTTGGAAATGGATTATCAACAGCATGTGTTGTGAATATTGGTGCTCAGGTGACATCAGTAATTTGCATAGAGGTAAGTGTAATTTATTTGTCTCTTTTATCGTCTACTTTTCACAGCACAAGGCATTTGTCATCAAGTTTAGTGTGTGATATAATCTATAAGAGCAAAATCCATTTTGTTATCCTTAAATAACTAAAAAGATAAGGGGAAGCTGTAGTGACTATGGATTAGCAGTTCCCTGATCAACTCATGCTAGTTATCTTTATTGCAATCCTGGTCATTTTCAAAATTTGTGCCATATTATTTATTACTTTAATATGGACAATAGTTGCCTGCTTGTCTGAATAATATTTTTCGTTCTTTAAGATATTGAACTTTTTCCCATAATTTTGTGTGATTTGGTTCCACTGATTTTTTCCCCCCCTTAACTGGCCACTGACAACATCGTTAAGCTCTAGCATATGCCAATAATTAACCATTTATTTAACTTTTCTCCATGTTTGTTAGCAGTTCTAACTCCTTTTTGATATTGAAGAACTAGATGATGACTAATTTTGGGGGATTAATGTTTCTTCTCAACTCACCCTCCCCCTTTCTTTTTGGTTCAGGATGGAGGTGCTCTACCTTTAACTGGGAAAACTTTACCTTTTGGAGGCGAGGTATAAAGCCTGGTTTAATACTTCAACTCATATCTGATCTTTCAAAGTAGTTTAGCAAGTATTATTTTGTTACTGATAATATTGTATAAATCAAGAGAGAAGTAGGATGGCCTGCTTCCTACACGAAGATACGCTTAGTCACAATATCTTGTCATCATTTCCGTGCTGCTATACAGACTTCAGTGTCCATTCACTTTGAAATCCTTGAATTTTCTTGTCTAAAATGTGTGTGAAGTACGAACATTTGACACACTGACCCACCTTTATTGCCGTGTCAAAGAACTACTTGATCTGTAAGATACTCTATGTACTTCATTCCCGGGGGGGGGGGGGATTAACAATAGCATTTTTCAGGCTAGCAATGTGAGTTCTGGAATCTGTGATATTTATTTTTTTAAAAGAAGTCCTAATCATCCTTTCTGGTTTGTCTCCCTTTTGTGCAATCATCATTTGTTGGTGGTTTAGTTGTCCTTTTGCAGTTTTTGGCTATTGCATATCATACCTTACATTCTGTATTCCGAGTTTTGTTTTCTTTGCTACTATTTCAATATGTTACTCGTTTTTGTTCAAATGCTAACTTCATATTTCCAGGATATATCAAGGTGCTTTCTATGGACCCAGAGACATCACCAGAATTGGCCACAAATTCGCACAGATATTTTGACAAAACCTATAGATATGTTAATGTTAAACCGACTGAAAGAGACATATTGTGAAATCAAAGTGAGTTTGGTTACTTTAATCTCATTTAGCCGATATAATATATGCTTATGATGACATAAAATTATGATTTGTTTTACGTGTTACCACTTTTTATCTACTTAATTTTAAGGCACTTTTTTTGTTTTTTTAATAAAGAGGAGGTGATTTTTAATCTTCCACCTGTCCCGGAGTCCAAAAATCACCTTTACCTATTTTACATATTAGTTGAATAAACTAATGGAATTATACATTTATAAACTAAATATAAATCTTAAATTGGGATTTCTATTGTCAAACCTTTTTTTTTTTTAATATTTTTATATATCCTTTGTTTTTTCCATTCTTATCACTGCCACTTTCTCTGGTGTGGTCTTGGGTGGGACGAGATATTTTAAAACCTTTTCATCGTTAGCACTCTACCTTTTCTATTGGCATGGGATGACAACCACACAATTTCGTCTTTGATCCATGTTACAAGTGATTTGATAGAGTTTTACATTGGTTATTGAGGATCCGCCACAAAGTTGCTCCTCTAGGTGGGCTTAGGACTGACTATTGAACTTGGTTTAGGAAGAATGGGGCATGTGATGGACAATTAGTGTGTATGTCCACCACTGTTTTATTATCTTGTGGCCAAATTGTCCTGTTAGGAATAAGGCTTTTAATGATTAACTGTGGCATATTGAATGTGTCTGATGACTAAAACCGTCACACATGTGATGATGTCGCTTCTCTATACTTGGACTTTCTTCCAAACCTGGACTCTTTTTCTTTTCTACAGGAGGGGGAACTTGATTCTATTGCAGTGGTTCATTCATATGAAGATGGAATGCCACCTGGATCTCACAAGACAAAGCTTACTGCTCTTAATGTATGTCTCTTTTATTTACTTATTTTGCCTTTGGACAATGTTGTGCTGAGACTGTGCTGACTGTTGTTGCAAGGTTCCTCCTATGGGATTGTTCTATCCAATGCTTTTGGTTCCAGATGTGTATCCTCCACCACCCCGTTCTTGGTTAGTACATTCCTGACGTTCTTTTTTCTTTGTGATGTGAGCAAATTCGTGAACAACTTTTTTCTTTGTGATGTGAGCAAATTCGTGAACAATTATGCATTTAAGCAACTATACTGGTTTGCTCTGTTAGGTTTCATGACTATGAGGATATGTTAGAAGATCCGTGGCACATTGATTTTCCGCGAAGGCCTGATATGTCAGATACTTTCTATCCCAATGTTAATATTGGACTACCCATGTGGGATGGCTATCCAGTCTTTTCAGCCAAGCCAAAGAAAGAAGAAAAAGTCGGTCTGGCTGAGGCTATTACAAACAGTATTCTCTTAGCTGGTAATTGTTTTTCATTTTCTTTTGTTGTATATGCTTTAGTTTAAAGTCTCATTATACTGTTTGGTGTTGTATTCACAGGTCGAATAGACCTCCAGAGAAAATTATTCTGTAGCATACTATTGGTAAGTTTCAGACATTGAGCTTGATGTGTTAATGTGAATGTTACATGTTATCCGAAGGGATTGACTCATTTATTTGGTATAGACGGGTGGAGTTGCTTTGACAATTGATCTGGTTCCTGCAGTGGAGGAAAGGTTTGTTTTGATTCATTTTCTGCAAAATCAATTGGGCAACAATTAGCTGAGTGGCTTTGAACTATTTCCATCGGCAGTTCATTTTAATGTTATAAGTTAAAACAATGAAGAATAGTTGTTCATTAAGTGAGGAGGATAGTCACATGTAGTGAACCCGAAGTCAAAGATATGGTATGGGTAATTATGTGATCGTATCGTTGGTACAAATGCAAGTTTAGGAATAATCATTGTGTGCAACGTTGAGAATCTGCTGCTCTCCCTTCTTTCTCAACAATATCCCATGGGTTTTAGTCTTGAAATTGTGTTGTAAAAAGTGCAAACTTAGGAGCAATTAAAACAGAAAATTATTGTGTGCACCGTTGGGAATCTCCTGCACTTCTAGATTCTGGCTGATAACATAGGATCAAATAAAACAGAAAATAAAGGGTAAAGCAAATAATTTTTGAAATCCCACGATATCAGTGAATAAAATCAGAGAAAAGCAAGGTAGTTCTGCCGTTAATAACTGGGTTCAGTGGGCCAAGGATCACATTCACCTACTGATTCTTCGAACTATTTAACCAGGCTTTAAGGGAGATTGGTTTAATTTACCTTTTATGCTATTCTATGGTGTTTAATTGATGGATAAGTGGTGTGACGTTATTGTGACAGGGTTTTACATGCCATTCCTCCGAATGAAGCAATTGATACCGTGGAGGTTAGCTTTCTCATTCCAATTTCAATGTTATGGAACTAATTATTTATTTTTAAACAATAGATAGAACCACGAAACGTGATCAACTAGCATGGCACTAAATGTTAAGCTGACATTGTGACATATGATATTTATTTGAACATTATGTGAATTTCTTTCCCATTTATATCCAGCTAGTTTTCTTTGGGAAGTGGACCTGTGTAATGGAGTTCTGCAGTAGTTATTTCTTGTCTCATTGAACGAGTTTAACATAGGAAACACTCGTAAATCTTATTTTTGGAATTAGCTTTCACAATATCTGCAGAAGAAACTGCTTACCGAAAAAGAATTTTCAACAAGAATTTTTCAATAGATATTAGCATATAGTTCCGTCGCTACGAGTTTCTTAGGTGACCTTGTTAGCTTTTCCTTGAGTGCCTATCTTTCTGTGAAAATGAAGAGCTATTAACATACCATGATTTGACATGTTCCTGACATAGTATACTATGTCCTTTTCGTCTGCTTAGGTTTTACAATCAAGAACAAACCCAACATTTGCAGCATGGAAAGGCGGGGCGGTATGTTATATTTTGCACTTATCTTGATTTGCTTCTTTTTTTCAACTCTTTGTGCTCCTTCCTCTCTTCCTCTTCATGATTTTTTTTTTTGGGGGTTCTAAATTAAGCATTTCTTCTTTTTGACTATTAAATTATTCTAGTAGACTCTTCACTATATGAAAATTGTGCACGTTTCATGTTCCAATTCTTTTTTTCTCCAAAAAAGAATGCTTGCTATTTGGAGTTGGAAAATGCAAAAAGCGTGGCATTTGAAACTAAAGAAAATAAAATGAATTTGTTCATTAAGCATACTAGAAGTCAGAAAACGATGATCTTAGGCATTGAGGGAAAGTATTTGGGTCCATTTGACTCCTGATTATATATCTCACAAAGATATTGTCTCTACAGATTCTTGGAGTACTAGATTGTAGCAAGGATGGTTGGATACGTAGGGAGGACTGGATAAACAACGGAATGGACCCAGAGTTTGTCAGAAAATACAAGGATTCTTATTATCTTCAAGCTCAAGCTATGTGTTACATGAATTCTTGAAAGGCAGGTTATCCATGAATGATAATAGCAGCAGCAGGAAAGAAGCCATAAGCGAAGAATCAATGTTGGAAATCGGCTGCTCGAGTACTTGTTACTTTGTTCTCCTGACATTCTTTTCATCTGCTAGTCCTTTTACAATGAGTATCCTTTAGGCTTTGCCATCTCTAGATAGAGGTATGCCCAAAGGTCTGCGGTAAGGCTGGAAGAGCTGAGATTTTCTAAAGACCAACACTCTTGAGTAACAAAGATCACTAATTATGCATCATGAAAAAAAAAAAATCATCACTAATTATGTGTCTTCTGACATCACGTTTCAGATTTTGGAACTACATCTCCTTTTACGTGCATTTATCTCCTTATTGAATTCTCTTCGGAATGTATGAATGTAGCGACTTGTTCTCTACGATCTATGGTGGAATCGTGCAGTTGAGGAGCAAGCAATTATGAGAAATCATTGTATGGGAACTGATTTGCGCAGGTTAACAAATGCATAAAATTGGGTTTAAGCGTGGATCTATTGGTTTGACCATAAAGTTGTCTCCTTGCTCGTTTATAACCTTCTTCCCAACTTCGCCTGCAAGTATTTCGGTTGCCTGCCTCGGTCAAATGTTGAAACTTTTCTCACGTTTTTTCGTGGGACTTGTCTCTAAACCCCTCTGTTAAGTTTGGGTAAAAAGAACAGAAAGAAGCTTCTTCTTTTTTTTCCTCTCCCTTTCGGTTGTTTCACATGTTTAATTTGATCGAATAAACAAGACACCTTTTTTATTTATTTATTTTTTGGGTGGGGGTGGACATCTTTGAAGAAGGCGTGCAAATAAGTGCAGGACCAGAAAAAGCAGAGATTTGATGTAGCCATGCAATCATATATTTAAAGAAGGAGAATGTGTGATAAAGAGGAGTGGGGCAATGCATTATTTAGGTTGTTTTTTTATGCCTTGTGTAAAATTTGAAAAATAGGATATCGTCATTTGTGAATGATACAATTAATATAGTTTCTATTGTATATATTAATACATTTATTACATATTGATATCCATTTTTTAATTTAAAAATTATATATATTATTTATATTGTTGGGATAATAAGTATATATTACTTCCGATTCTTAATATAAGAACTAATTGACTAATTTAAATAAGTTAAGAAAATTAGTTAAATTAGTTGTTTATAATAAATGGATATTATCTTTTTTAAAATATTCTTGCTAATCAAGTGTATTGGTTAGAACTATCATTATTACAATAACTGTCTTGAAAAAAAAAGATAAATACAAGAGTCAAAATAGATTGGAGTTTTATATTTCGAATCGAAATAAAAGTCAAACGAACTCTTACTCCCTCTGTCCCTTATTATAATATCTAATTTTTTAAATAAGTTTGTTTTTTTTATAAGATTCTTTTTGAGTTTGTCTGAACATTTAATGTATTATTATCTATTTTATCATTAGTGTAATATATTTAATACTTTCTCTTTCTTCATTTATCTCACTATTACTCTCTCACATCTACCCATTTATATATAGGGGTATATTTGGAAAAAAAATTATATTTGCTACATATTAATTGCTTTTAACTAATTTTAACTATTTTCTTAAATCGCTCAATTTAATTAAAAAGATCTTATAATGAGAGACGGAGCAGTATATTAAAGACAAAATATAGTAATTACTTTCATGAGTAGGAAAATAAAGAGTAAAGAATGATACTCGAACCTAGTGAATACTGATCAGGCTCACAATTGTCTAGATGAATCATTATTGGCAAGGTAACATTCCCCCCACCTCCTCTTCACGTTTAATTGGAGGACTTAAACAGGATTCAAACATAATGTCGATCAAGTTAAGAAAGATAATTGACGAAAAATATTTTCCTACCAAATATTTAACGCAGCTGCGGAAGGTGTGATTAGGCAAGCACATCATCTGTTAATTTTCCTCCACAAAGTTAATATAGGAGTAGAACCATTGATATGTGCGTGTGATGTAGGGCATTAGTTTGTGGGTTATGAGAATGCGTGGTGGTAAAATTTCGACGACTTTTGTGGGTTAGGTTGGGTTTGGAATGAACAATGCAAAGATAACTTAGAATACAAGTGAGGAGGAGGGGGGGACTGTTTGTTTCCCTTTCTTTTTTTTGAAAAATCTCTTTGAGGTACAGGTGGCGGGTTCTTGCTCGCATTGATGTGGAGGAACAGGTGGGGGCCCATTATTTAATTTTATTTTAGGTGCGGGGCGCATTTTGAGATAATAATAAAAACAACAGCAAATAAAAACCTCCTAATATGTGAAATTATAAGTTAAGATTTTTAATTTGAAAAATTGCCAAAAGACCCTATCTTATATTGTAAATATGAAATTTTAATGAAATGTCTGAAATTACAACTCAAATATACCAAATGACAAGTTAACTATGAGAAATGATAAGTTCACTTTAGTAAATGACAATTTCAGTAGACCAAATTACAACTTAATTGAGAAGTATTTTAGACATTTCATCAAGATTTTATACTTATAATATGAGATCGGGTCTTTGTTTGCTATTTTTCAAATTGAGATCCCAAATCGCAATTTCATATATTATAGGGTTTTTATTTGCTATTTTTCCTAATAATAATAATAGGAATTAAAAAAAAAAACGTCAAAAGGGAATCAAAAGAGAAGCCACGCACACGCATCCCCTTTGCGCAAAATTTTGTGCCTATCTTTGACTGCCATCTCTTTTCTGTTAGACGTATCCTTGCTTTTTCTTCATTCTCTCTCACTCCTCCCTCGCCTTTGCTTTTCTCTTTGCTCAGCTCAGCCCTCAAGCTAAGCCAAGCCCCCCACCCCAAAAAAAAAAAAAATAAATCACTCCCTTGCTTCTTCCTTTTATATTTAAACAGACATCAATATAAATTTTCAACAAATAATGAATAAAACTAACAATAGGAGAGTTATCTAGATAAATATAAAAATTTCGAGAGATTTATTGTAAAGTTATAGAAGTTGTAGAAGTTATTTACATGTGAAATAAAATTTAAAGGGTTTTACATTATTTAGCTTTTTTAAATAATAACATAAAAATTTAAAAATAGGTTAGTTTGCGCATGACAAAGAATGGTTTGGGATAAGATATTGATGGTATTTGCTATTTAGGAAATGAATTAGTGAGAGACAAAAAGGTGATATCCTGAATTGATGAGAAGCGAATGCCAAGGGAAGGATAATTAAAAAGAGATGAGTCAGCAACGCGTTACGGCGGCTCCCGAGCCGAGCTGTAGGACAGCCAAGCCCAGCTATCTTTCCCCCTTTCGCTTCCCACCGTGTGCTCGCATCCTATCCTGTCCCTTTATATTCACTCTAACCACCTTCACTCGCTCTTCATCCTCTCTTTCTCTCTCTGACTCTCTTTCTATCTCGCCCCAGCTTCATTCCACCGTCACCGGAAGACCTATCGGATTTTCTTCGTTTTCTCTTGTTCATCTCCTCGCCGTAGATGGCTGATTCGCAGAGGCATAAGCACGGCGGCCCCGGTAGCCGGAAGCAGCAACAGCAACCCAGCCGCTTGCAAATGCGAGCGCCGTCTTCGTTACAGGTAAATCGGTCGTGTGATTGGAACGTGGCCATCCCCCTATTGTCACCCCTCGCTTCGTCGCCGCCTCCGGTTAAACTCGGTGCGCCGGCGACGGAGAGGGAAGAGGCCCGGCAGCAGCAACGCCAACAAGGGGCGGAGCCGGAGAAGGTGGTGTTCAAAAAGTGGCAGCATCCGGCGGCCCCGTTCTGTTACGAACCGCCTTCTGTGGCGCCTCCTTTCTTCCGCTGCGTGTAGATATTACTCATAACAGCTGTAGGATGATCGGACGGTTGAGAACTGGACGGAAGAAAGATCTGAGGGCGCATGTTATGGGAGAAGCATTCAAATCTTGCGTTCAGTCGGTCATCATATGAAGTCGATATTGCTAATTGTACGCAGCGGGATCTAACTATTGTACGATGGACTCTGATTTTTTTTCCTGGGTTTTCCCCCATCATTTCTCTAGACACGTTAGAAATTCCCCCCTCTCATGTAATTTACGTCAATTGATTAGAAATCTTAAATTGTATACAGCATCATTCTTTGATTCATTTTCTTTAATTGAATTTCCAGGTCCACAAAAACATTGATGAACAAAGTCATGTTGCTTAAAATTAATCAGAAATTTCCATGTTTGTGATGTGAATCTGGTGGGTCTTAGTTGGGTAATTGATGTTTGGAGTCAGTAATGATTCGCTAATGATTGGAGGCCCAGTGATTTGTTTAAACACATGTTAATCATCTGAGCCATTTTGGAGCCCCCATTGTTTAATAGAGGACAAATCAACTTGAAACGGAAGAAGGCAAATCCAAGTGGGAGTTGAGTGTGATATGCACTTTTTCCCCTTTATTAGTCAAAAGGCGTCGTCAAAGGAAAACCAAACCTTCGTGGCTGCACAATCTCGATTTTTAAAACTTGGTCGTGAACTTGGAGGACATAATTTAAGGGATTAATCAGGTAGATTCGATAGTGGTGTTGCAGATTGAGACGTTGTAGCGTATTGCAATTTGCAGAGACTGTTTATATGAACGTGATCTGATCAGAGAGGAGAGGAGAGGCTACGGGAATAACGTACGAGTGGAGGGAGATGTTGCAAGTTGCAACAGAGACGAAAAATGGGAAAGATCAGAGGGCCACAGTTTTTTATGGGAAACATAAAACAGCTCAGCAGTGATGAAGAACAAATGTGTAAAAACAACATGACCTGGTGACAGCCCATGTGGTCACGTGGTGTTTAACATTTAGTCCAACAGCATACGTCATCAATTCCCCTGTCCCTTTCCCCCCGCCCCTTATCCCTCCTTACATTAAAATCATAGATATAAAGACAATGAAAATTCTAAAATCCTAAATTACTCTTCGTCTATTAAGTTTTGACAATAATTAACTTACAAATAACACATTTTTTTGAAAATTTTTGTTAGACTTTTGTAATTTTCATGCCTTGTTTTTTTTTTTTCCATGTTTCCTTGTTTAAAACACCAACTGAATTCTTGTGACCAACATTGCTTCAATATAATTTTCAGAAACCATGATTATTCCCCTTCCACATACTTCATTCGCATCCCAAGTTTTAGGGTGTGTTTGGATGAAACTAAACCGTGGTTGGAAAAGTGATTCTAGAGAATAGATTCTGGGGAGAATAGATTCTGTGAAAAATAGATTTGTAAAAAGTGATTTTGAGAAGTGAGAGTGTTTGGATAGTTGTTATCAGAAGCACTTTTTATATATACAAATTACTAAAAAAAGACATAAGTTAATATGATAATTACAGAAAAAATAGATTTATGATATATTTTAATTGAAGGAATAAATTGTTAATAATATATTTTTACCACATAATTATAATACATAAGATAATATAATAATAAATAATTAATGTGTATATATATTTATTAAAATATAAGATTAAATATTTTATCAAAAAATATGTTTATAAAAAAAATAACAAGATACATATCATATAGGCTCTCACACTCTCTCTTTTTTCTCTAAAAGCAAAAAAATTTACTTTTTCCAAAAACCATGGTTTTGACTCAAAACCATGGTTTTGGCTTTTAGAGGGGGTGTTTGGGTGATTGACATCCCAAATCATAGTTTGAGGTGTCACCCAAACACACCCTTATCTGGTCCAAATTTAGCACTCATCCCTTGGGTGATGAACAACATTTTTTTGGGTAAAGGGTGATAAGCAGCTAGTAAATTCGATCCATGAATAAACACATAGCCCATCTACTAATTAACTTATTATTGTAGGAGTACTGTTTGATAATCTAATGCATTATTAGTTTGAATATGGATAAGGCACGATCCAATCCTAAACCCGTGCGAGCCAGACTTCCACGTAATTTTAAGTTTGTTTATTATGTGGAAAAATAAAAGATCATTCAACCTTCTTCACACGCGCAACAACATGACCCTACTTTTCCATTCAGTCGTACTTGGAGACGCAATATTTTGTATATGTTCGTTGACAAGTTGATTGGGTTGCCTCTTAACCTTAATATAAAACTCTGTTTGATTTTTGTTTTGATCCTCAGATTCCAATTTATTTTGTCTATTATATTTATATATATATATTTTTTAAGATAGTCCTTCTAATAATTATAGTTATAGCCAATATAGTTGATTAGTAAAGATATTTTAAGAAAAACAACACCTATTTATTACAAATAACTAACTTAAATTATTTTTTTAATCTTTTTAAATTAATCAACTACGTTTTATAATTAAGACAAGAGGTAGTATTTAATTTATTGGTAGTCCGCGTTTAATATGTAGATTTTGCCGCGTCCCGGGTGGTTTGTTTTCTTAAATTCATATTAGAAGTTGACTGAAGCTAGACTCGAAATCTCCATCTTCGTACAATGCAACACGCGTTCCTTTAAATAAAAAAAAACATTGAGAAAAACTAGATATATTTTCTCCCCACACACACACATATATATATACTGCCTCCAATCTTTAATATAAACATTAATTTGATTTTTAATTTGATTCTAAACATAAGACCCTAGTTCACTTTGTCTTTTATATATGTATTTTTTTAAAGTAGTCCTTATAATAGTTGCGCATATTAAATGTTTAATCAAATGACATTTGATTAGAAACGGTATTTTATGTAAGACAATACTTATTTATTAAAAATAACTAATTTTTTAATCTATTCAAATTAATCAATTAGCTCAAACCGTCTCGGTGATAGCCTGTGTATATACATATATGAGTTTTTTTTTTTTAACTAGGTAGTACGCTTCTTTTAAACATAATAAAATATTTAATCAAGATATAAGATATGCAGTCTTCCCGGCCAAAAAAACAGGAATGACTTCTTATTTAGTAGTAGTAATACAAAAAGGATTGATCCCACCTGGGTGACATAATGCCAGATGCAGAAAGGAGGGGAATAATAAATGAGAGGCGGGCAGCTAATAAAGAGAAAAAAATGTAAATTAGTAGCAGTGCATGAAAAACTCAGAATGGTGATTATCAAATACGTAATAATATATGTTTCATGTTGTGTCCTTATCTCTCTTTCGTTTTCCTTCCCCACACCTCACACCCCTCCTTCATATTTCTGTTTGTTTCTCCCCTGCTATGAACACGATGGATCACTGGAAAAATATGGCGTGATATATTGGGGGAGGATATTCGATAGTGTGTTGAATGCAAAGATTAAAAAATGATTGATGAGAAAGAAAATGCAGGCCCCCACAGAGTGAACCACCAGGATGCAGTCTACATATCCAAAAAGGGTTTCATAATCCCAATTATTCCAGAGCACCTCATGCTGCTTCCACATCCACTTCAATTATTCCTTCTTTGAGTCTCACAAACCAATCCTAGCCGCTATCTTGTTATTCCCCAATGTTGACTTCTACAGTAGTAATTAGTGCTGTTGACGGGTTTGCCCATGCATGAACCCAGGATCGTTCTGGGCCTATTCTGGGTGTTTGTCTCTCGTATCGTGTTAGGGCTAAGATCCAAGTGACCCCTGTAGCTTTTATAACCATGATTGGCCCATTTTCTTGACATTGTGACGAAAGTCAGACAAAAAGACGTAACTATTACTACCTTCAGTGTTTAATATAAGATTTTATTTAATTTTTATTTTGATTCTAGATATAAGATCTCAATCTACTTTATCTCTAATATTTATCATTTTTTTAAGATAATTTCTAATAATAGGAGCTCTAACTAACACACTTGATAGTCAACTAGCTATTATAATTAGAACTAGAGGTAGTATTACACTTTACCAGCCAGAATTGGGTTTAGTAAAAATAAAAACAAAAAAACTAGTCCATATTATTATGAATTAAATTTGAATTTTTTTAAAAAAATATTTATATTTAGTGCTTGATAGTATTTTTACAAGCACGCCGATGCATTTCTCTTGTTGGAATACTCCTTTCCTTGGGGATTCAAGAGTTCCAAAATCATCTCAAGATTCAAATGACGCTAAATTTTGATAATCCATGCATTCACCTCAATAACGATAGTTTTCGTCTTATTACTCACGACATGTATATTACACGAAACAAATATGTATATATAACTCGCAGTGTTTGACAATTAATTTGAAAAGAATAGTATTGGACAAAGTGCGTGGACCCAAGTCAATTTGAAGACACACTAACTGTGTTGTGCACGCATGACTTGACGAATTAGCTAGTCCGTTGCCTTTAACTTACCATTTTAAGACAATAAGAGTTTCGTTTCCCTTCATTGATAGTGAATTCCTCCTCCTCCTTCTTTTTCGGGTTAAATGATACTCCTCCGGTTCTAAATATAAAACCCTTATACTAGTTTATAAGGGTCTTATATTTAGAACCGAGAAGTAATAAACTTCACATTATAAGACTCTTTTTATAGAGAGTGACCAGAAATATTGTGGTTCCAGTCTCTCCTCAGCGCAAATAAGAAATTAATCGGTAGAAATAGAAAGTGTTTGTTTCCCAATAGGCATAATCTATCATTAAAAACGACTAAGAGTGATAAACATACGAATGAGGAAATCAATAAAAAGAGAAAGGAACCAATTAGAGAAGTGTTGAACAGATCAACGACAAACTTGAACATTGGAAATGAAATGAAAGAGTGGTATACACATGTTTGGTGGGCATGTGGTCAAAAAGGTGGGAGATGGAAGAAGACGACCAACTCCACGACAATGGTATTGGAAAACGAGGTGGCAATTAACCTCAGATTTTCTACAAATTATGGGTTCTGTTACAGTAATTAAAATGGGAGATGATTAAGGTCACTTTCAATCAGAAGCAATTGGGTTAGAGAGTTGGATTAGGACCAATAAAGAGTTGGTCCAGCGATGCCCGCTAGATTCTTTCGCGAAGAGCAGTCATGAATCCCAAATCTAATTAGTCAGTTGCTCAAATATTTGATAATAAGATCCACAAAAAAGGGTCAAATGCCCGAATAATAATATGTATCAAAAATAAAAAAGGAGAGGGTTGGAGTAGGGAAAAAGAGAGGGCAAAATTATAAATAGTAATAAAAATAATATCATGACAAAAAAGAAGCGGAAAATCAAATACGTACACTTTG